CCTCTGCGATTTTGGCCAAGGGTTCGGCCTCCACCCACTTCGTGAAGTAATAGACCGCCCCAGTAAAACAAATCCTTTGACCAGATCCCTGCGGCATTCGTGCCACTAGGTCGATGCTCCACTGCGCAAAAATGGAATTGGGGCGCTCATTGTAGTCATTTCTTATGACAGTTGATGAATGAGTGGACCATGCTTCTGGCACTGCAAGCACCTTTTCACCATCGAGGCTGCATCCACAATCATTGTCGGCCAGAAGTAACCAGCTCAAAGAATTTTTGCGACTAAAGCCCAAACTTTGCTATGATTGTTGCAGCAACCCTCGTGCACCTCTTTCAACACATACCTCCCTTCCTCTTTGGTCACACACCTCAAATGTGGCCCTGTATACTACCTCTTATAGAGGACCCCTCCTTGCTTAAAAAATCTTTTAATAGCCTTCAAGCTTCCTTCATTCAACTCAAGTAAGACAGGGACCATCCAATCATCCACCTCCTCGATTTCTGTGACCTCAACTTCCACTGTGCTTTTTTTCCATGTGTAATAAAGTTACGCTCCTACTCGTGCAATCGACCAGGTTTTTAGCTATTTTTGACAATAGATCTTCTCGATCATTCTCTTCCCTCGGTATCTGAATCAACTCAAAAGAGCTGAATTGTAACGCCCCGTTGTTTTAAAAGGAAAAATGTCAGATTTTTCAAAAGTAGGAATAAATTTTTCAAAAATAATTATCCAAATTAAAACTTTTTAACGGGCATTACTCAACATCAAACAACCCTGTTCACAAAGATTAAGATGCAACTTAGGCCAAAGAAACATTTACATATCAGAAATCGAGATTTAAACCAATATCCCAAGCATAATAATCTTGGATCATATATTATACCATAACCATGAACCCAAATTTTCGATGAAATAATCTCAAATCATAACTAATCGTACTAAGTTCAACATATCCAATATACAAGTCTTGAAATGAATAAGAGGAAGCAAATAACAGTTCATAATAACACCAATAATGACCCCACTTGCCCGTCCTTTGCCACGACTGCCAGCTCAACCTGAAAGGGTGAAATAATGGGGGTGAGCAAACAAAAAGCTCACCGTGGGAATACTGTGCAATCTATTTCAGATAATAATTGATAACATAATCGCAGAATGAACATAAATCATCACATCTACCTCCTACCTTGCCTATGCTCATATGTACACACTCTTGCACGGGACCCAATTAATCGGTGCGCCCGAAGGGAGATACACTCTCCTTGGGTAACTACGGGAGAACTGTCGACACAACCATACCGACAGGAGATACGCTCTCGATAGATTGACAATTCACACATACATTGATTATGGACTCACACGATTATAAGAAATAAAAGCATAGTAAGTTTTATCAATACCCACCTTGCCGATAATGAATGAATGCACATTAAACTTTCGCGAGGGCTCGACTCCTATTAATCTACAAATTAGACGTTGAATTATTATTAAGGGTTTTGATTATCATACAAAGAGCACGACAAATTAAAGCAATATATTATCCACGTCGAGGTCGGACTTCTTATATGCTATAAGAAGATCCGACCTCGAAGATCTCAGAGGACGGGACCCCAAGATGCATTCAATAACAGGAAATAATAAAATAATGCCACTTGCAGCCTAATGATGGTCGATGGGATGTGACCACCAACTCTGTAGACATACGACCCGTAGGTCCCTAGAATGGAGTGTCCACGTTAAGGGCCAGGCAATCAACAATAGTGGCAGGTAATCGGTTATCGTGAAGTATGGTTCAATGAATAGTGGAAAAGTGGTATCCACGACTGTTGAGTTATAAATAGTCCTATTATATATTTATGAGAGAGGTGGTGGTAGAGAGACAAAAAGAGAGCAAAAAATACCAAACACTATGTAAAATACAACCATTCGTAATAAATTTAGACAACACCGCCCAAAGGTCTGATCTGGGAGCATCCAGTGGCCGGCCTCGATTCATACCTGAAACTCTCAGTTTTCTTAATTAAACCTTACTCATTTCGCGATTGTCTTCCCAAATCAGTCAGTTGATCCTTGATTAACCGTTGATACAAACTACATATCGACACCTACCATGCCTAATAGGAATAAAATAGTCATTCCAATAAAGTAGTATAATTAAATACTCCATGTTTAATTCCCAAATTACGGTTTGAGCTCCACCTTCCAATATACTCAAATTACTTACATATGTTTAAAATATGTCCGTCAAGTTATTTAATTGTTGATAATTAAATTAATTAACTTCTTGAACTGAAGCTAACACAGTTCAATCATTTTTATGTCGGAATTTAATCCACATACACGGTTTAACATAATAATCCTTCTGAACTCACTTCGGGGACATCATCAAACCTCGAGATGTGAAGTACACGGTGATCGTAAATATTATAACAGAACACCATATTATATCGGAATACTACCCAATCCAAACAGTTATTGGCCTATATCAATAAACCTCGCCTTGCTGAATCAAAGCAGTAATTACTACATACATGTGTTTATTCATATCTTACGAGTTAAGAGAATACAGTAGTTAGCCGAGGCATAGTTCGTTTGCGATGATTAGTACAAAACGAAATACTCATCTCTAGGATCCATTCAGTACACCAATGTGTACTAGTATAACTAATCAGTCAAGACCGACTGTATCACTCACACTACAACCGTTCCAATAGATTGTTCAATTTCCATTTAGGTTGTGAATCAATGTTTTATGTTTTGAATGTAACCGATAAATGATCTTCAGTCCATCCGTGATGAACCATTTATCTAAATTCAAAATAATAGCACATAGAACTTTATTTAATCAAACAGGAATTCTCATTCAACATAAATAGTGATCTAAAGCCAAGTTTTAGTATACATACTAACAAATGCCTCATTAAGGTCCTTAGTAAAGCCTATAAATACACCACTTCTCTTTTATTTGGGAGACATCCATACACATAAGACTTGGGAGAGATATAGAGTCTCCTTCCCACCAAGGGAGTTCTAGAGGTGTTAGGATATTCAATAGAAGATTCTAAGGTAGTCGAGCACCTGACCACCACCGGCGAAGCACCCGACCACCGTCGACCATCATCGGCCACCGCACATTGCCTGACGCGACGCGACTCTCTCTCGTGCGTCCTGCTCCCAGCGTCCCGCTCTAGCCGCTGCATGCCTGCGACCCGCAACTATCTCACAACCCACTCTAGTCAATGACCCGTGTCAACCCGTGCACGACATGCTGTAGTTCCTGAAAGTTGCTCGACTCCGTCTGCACACCACGCGATCCGCGCGACTCCCGACTACTCCAAGACGTCGGGCAAGGAGATTTCTTGCGAGAGGAAATCAGGCAATCTCCATCAACGGAAATCTAGAACGTCTCAGATTTTGAAAATATTAAGCCGTAAGTTTTCTACGTTAAACCTTAGATCCTTGCGCATTAGACGATCCTCATGGATGCCAACAAAAACAAGCTTGAAATGCTCAAGCTCGCAACGTTAGGTTCAATTACATCACTAATATTCTCTAGAGTTAATCAAATAATTTTAAAATCTTGTTTACCAAATTACTCGAAAACGCAAATGGATTCAAACTTTGGCAAACAATTCAACGAACGAGCTCGAACATGATTCGTTGCTCGAAAAATAGATGAACGAACAAGAACAATGTTCAAGACAAGCTCGAGAGTTGTTATTAGCACTTTATCCCCAGACAGCTACCAACGTACACTAGTGTGTCAGACCCGAGTCTACACGGCCAGCAACGCACCCCGCCTACCAGCAGCGTGCACCCGTTAGGCCCATCGACCACAACCGAGGTCCGGTGATCACCAGCAGTCCGGCGACGGTCCGACAATATCCCGGCGAGCCTTCGACAACGCAGATCAGCCAATGACCATGGTGAGAAGCCTAAGACGATACAAGGCACAACTCAGACACCAGGAGACGTGTCGAGGCAATCACGATGGGACGAACATCGACGAGGCTTAGATAATCTCCGTCAACGGAAATCAGAAACGTCTCATAATTGACAAATATTTAAACGGTACACATTGAACCCTAGCTTGTAGTTCCGTTGCGATTAGGATTTAATTCATAGATAATTTGTGACTTGCATAAATTCGATGTTCCTAACCGAGCCCCAACCATAAGATGGTCAATTGTGTAGGAGATAAGCTCTTAGATAGAGTTGAATTAACCCAATCAGAGTAGGAAGGGGTACCTGATGATATGAGATACCATACCGGCTGGAGTTGACCCGAGAAACAGAGTAATCAGACCGAATGCATCACTAGGTCGATCGAAAATCGAAGGATATGGAGGTCGAAAAGTACACCAGCAGGTTGAGCTAAAGCCCTTTGAAGGCCTATGGGAGCTTGATTTGAAGACATTATAGGTCGATGGATTGACCAAGCGGATAGAGCACGACCTCAATGAAGAAAGCACTCTATCCCAAGAGAAGTTGTATTAGTCGTACTATTAATTGTATGATTAGGCCGTCTTATAAGTTGGACAATTCAACGAACAAGCTCAAACATGATTCCTTATTCGAAAAATAAACGAACGAACAAGAGCAATGTTCGAACATAAAAACAAAGCTCGAAATGCTAAACTAGACTCATTCAATTCAATTAAATCACTAGTCTTCTCAACGTAACTTTTTTTTTATTTTTTTTTTGTCCACTTGTTTTTTTATTGTTTTTTATATATAAATTTCCCTAAAATCTACACTACCAATCCACAGTTAAATTACCAACCACATAAAATCTTATATTCGTCCATGCTGTGTGTTGCCATTTGTTTGAACCTCTTCTTGTCAACCAATTTCTAACATGACTAATTGACTATGTTACATGCATCCAACCAAGGTTCGTTTAATACCCCTACCCGAAGTTCCTTTAAGCATCATCATGAAAACCCCTTTAAGGCATGTGTCGTATAAAGTCAAAACAAAATATTGAAATTTCAAACACGAACAAATAAATCATTATCTATTTCAAACAAAGTCATCGGAAATTCAAATACGAGGCAAAAGCAGAAGTAATTTCTAAGATTCAAAATTTTTCAAAGGCAAAACTACTTGGAAGGAAACACAACTGAAAAACTAAAGTTATTTACTACTAAACCCTAATCAAAAATGTTGATAATTAAATCGTCTTCTTCCTCCTCAATCTCTTCGTCCTTCTCCTTCTCTTTATCTTTGTCCTCTTTCTCTGCCACCACATCACCGCTCGAAGCTTCTGGGGTAAAGGCGGCACCACCAACTATCACCTGCATAATTTGACCACACATAAACATACAAATTAAATACTAGACAACAAGACATATAATTAATTGAATCCAAAGCCAGAAGAGAATATCCATATTAAAGTACATAGATTTATCCAAATTTGTAATCTACGAGAATACTATTATGTAAAATAAAAAACGAAAATCAAAACAATTTGCTCTTTGTCATAGCCGAATTGGACAATATTTTAACTTTTTCACAAGAAGGAAACAAAAAATAAAAATAATAAAAAACCCCTAGGATGAAAATTAACTTCATAAGACAAATAGGAAACTCCGAATAACCTGAAAAACGCCTGAGGAAGGGGTGACATAGGAGAAGGAACTCTGAACAGCGCCGGAGGAGCCAACGGCATGGACGAGCTTGCGCTCAAGATCGAATCGTTCGTCGGCCGACGCGTGGAGATCGCCGTTGAGTTGCTTAGCCGACCACGCGCCGTCGGTTTCCCTGCAGACAAAAGTGAAAACTCCCATCGCGCCGTTTGCTTCGATTAGATTGGTATCGATATAAGACCTAGGGCTTTAGGGGCATATATTTATAGGTTTTTTGCCCGCGCCACGATGAATTATTTACCTTTCGTCAATAAATACAATATTTTAATAGAATAATAAATATTTATTTATTAATTTACTATATGGGCAAATATTTAGCATGAAAGGCGGTTACTGCTTTTTAAAGAAACGAAACAAACGGCAGCTTTTTTTTTTTCTTGCTCACGTTAAATAGGGTTTTGAAATATACAGCATGACCCCAGTAAATGTGTCGTATCAAAGTTGGTCTTTTCTGTTTCCACGAATTTGGAAGTAACTGTACAGATTTTCACTTTTACCAAATTCTACTCAAATTCGTTTAGACTCCTTTTACGACTGCAACACCAGTATATATAACGTAATTTAATGGAATAAATATAGGTAAAAATAAATAAAAAAGTAAACAGTTTGTAATTTTATTTTCAATTAGAAAATGAATATATATTCAAATTCCAAAAAACTAATCTCACAAATAAAATAATAAAAGCACTGTTACTAATATTTTCATTCGTGCAACATAGATTTTCCAACTTTACAGTATAGATGTTATAATAATGTAAAGTTTATTGGCCATTGATATTATAATATTGTAATTGAAATTAATAGGCATGCGTCCTTAGAAAATCAATTGATGCATGTGTTTTTATGTACACAAGTAATCCAATTCAAGTAATCTTCAAAACTAATTAAGTTGATATTAAATCAAGTTCATAGATTTTTATGAAAATGTCACTTCTATAACTACAAAAATTTTTCAATTAATGGGTTATCAAAATCAAATCAATCAGTAAAAAATTTATTAAATATTGTTTTTCCAAAAAATAAAGACAATGCTAAAAAAGAAAACATGAAAAAGTCAAAAAATATGGTTACGAGTTCCTTTTTAGTTGTAATAAAATTATTTTGATGAAAAGTTAGTCACATACTAATAATAATTAAATGATTTACTATGTGTGTAGATAAATAGATATATAACGTGTTGATTTTAAGAAGGTAATTTAGACATTTTAAAGGACATTAACGGAGTTTGAAAATCTTAATACTTTGAAAAATATAATTTTTTTCATATGAATTTTTCGAAAAAAACTTATGACCTAAAGCACTATAATCATGGTTTTCAAAATCGGACCGAACTGGCCGGTTCAACCGTGAACCGGTCATCATATGGATCAGGTTTGAGGTAGTAAACCGCCTGTGACTAAAACCGGGAAAAAATCGTTTGAACCGGTCAAAAATTGGATAACCGGAGAACCAGAACCAGCTCAAGCGGCCCAACAGCTTCATATTTACCTGTTTGTCTTGACTTTTTTCTTATAACCATTTTATTTCTTTGATAGTTATTCGACGTGGGACTTATTGGTTTCACTTTTCACATCTTAGCTCGTCCGATGAGAGAAGAAAGACAGACTTGTCTTTATATGAGAGGTTCATTAGGCCAATTCAAAAGGCCCAACTGTTTGGGCCTTTTTTTTCATCCTTTGGGTCATTTTTTGTTTTTTTTTTTCTTTTTTTTTTTATGTCCTTATGCAAAGTTTCAAATGCAAACGTTTTTAAAATTCAAAACTAAAGGCCCAACTTAAAAAAAAATAAAATAAAAATCAGATATATTATATTCTTATTATAATTTTGCAATTTAGAAAATAAATACAAACTTTACATAATAAGTTTAATAATTTAATGTTTAAACTGATAATAATAAAAATATATACAATTATATATTATACATATAATATTAATGGTAAGAAATTAATAAATTATTTTGTACATGAAATGTCATTATACACTATGAAACAAAGGATAAAACATATAAAATAAATAAAAAATTATCTATTAATTAGACCGGTTCGACCAGTGAACCATTGAGCCAGTAGCTTCACCGGTTCGGTTTTCAAAACCTTGACTATAACAAAACCTTTTCAAAACTCAAACTCACCATGCTCATATCTTTTTCTTTTTTCGAAATGATACACTCAGTCGGATATATCCGCAACTCAGCAACTTCTGCATCTGGATATCTAGTTCTTACAACTCCTTTGGCGCCACTCTATAAAGTGCTTGGGATACTGGTCTTACTCCTGGTACCAAGTCGGTTGTATACTCCACCACACTTCCGTTGCGCCTTCTAGCAACTGCTCCGGACAGGCATCTGAATACTCTCGCACCATTGGAACTTCTTTGGGTGCGTCTCCTTCTTAGTGATCGAAACAATTTTTGCTAAGAACTCTTAGTGATCTCTCTTTCTTAGGCTCTTCTTCATCGTTGAGATAACTTGCGGAATGATCCCTGCTGTCGTCCCATATATAAAACGTGATTTTTACTTCTTCTGGTCATCTCTTACTGAAAAACGCATTTGTCATGACCCAACTTCAAGCTTCCATGGTCTATCCAGACTTTTGTCTCTTATTTCAATCTACATAGTATACCCGAACTTGTGGCTCTTATATACCGTTACTACATGTACTTTCTTGAAGGCACTTTGCCAAAACTTAAAACGAGATAACCTCTAGAGTCAAATTCGAACTTAACTAGTGTCAAAACTTAACTAGAGATCGAAGGTCTTTTATCGGAAGGTAAGTCTTAGGCCCCAAATTAAACTTATGAATGCAACAAGCTTAAACTTTTTTAAGTAAGAAATAACTCATAATGGTTACCTCGGAGTTGGCGCGGAACGAAGGAGGCGAGTGGTCGAACTTTTAAGAATTTCAAAATTTTTCTAACTTTAAAAAATTTCAAGTCTCCATATTCGTAAACCTGACACTAATACCACATTGTAACGTCTCGATTTTAAAAGGATAATTTGGATATTTTAAAGGGTGTTAACAGAGTTTGGAAATCTTTATACTTTGAAAACTCTAAGTTTTCCATATGAAATTTTTGAAAAACATTTGTCACCTAAAGCACTATAGCGAAACATTTTGAAAATTCAAACTCACCATGCTCATATCTTAACTAATAATAAAAGTCCATAAATGAATAAAACATCTCATATCCTCAAGTCAAATAAATCATGTGAAGTACTTAAGTCTAAAACTAAATCACAGGAATATATCTCAAAAGTCATAAAAGAACATAAAGAAGTTTGATACACGACCATTCCACAGTCCCGTGTCCCGACGCCAACTCGATCAGCCTGAAAAGGGGGAAAAGAGGGGGGTGAACAAACCACTAACATAGTGAAGATACACTAAACAGTTATAACCCTTTAGTGACATGTATTAATATCGTGGTATTCATTTCTCAAACTTAATCATGACACTAAGTCATCATCGGTTCTCATATCTCAAACTGAGTCCTGCTGTGATTGTGCCATCACGCGATTCTGGGTGTACTAGCATATGATCTATCAGCATGTCAGCCCATGCAAATCTTTCAGAACAATGAACATATTGTGGCTCTGAGACACATGCTATGATATATATACATACTGTGACGTATATACATACTATGACATAACCATACTGTGGCATATACATGTTGTGACTTATACGTACTGTGACATATATATGCTGTGACTTATACATACTGTGACATGTACATGATGTGACTTATACATATACGTACTGTGGCATATGCATGTTGTGACTTATACATATACATATATTGTGACATATACATGTTGTGACTTATACATACTATGACATATAAATATGACTATATATATATAGGCCCGTACGCCTGCCCAAAGTCAAACGTACAATTAAAGCAAACAGTCATAAATAATCATAAGTACAAGAATAAACCACATCACACATTCAACGTATATATTTAAGATAATAAGAGACATAATAAACATAACATGAACAAGATAAAAAAGTATCCTACATTCCGCCTCATCTGCTCACAGCTCGAAAGCCGATCCTTATATAGTCTCATATAGTCTGCCCAAAGTCCGAAGATAATGGTAACTTACCTTTAGTTCTTACCATCAATTCTTACATTCAATTCTTACTGTCAATTCTTACCGTCAGTTTTCTGCAAGAAGGCTCGGCAATATGTATGTACAACAATAGAGATAACATGGACTTAAATTGGTTAAGTGTAGAGAAAACCCCACCTTAAATACGGATGTGAATGAATACTCGATAATCTTCTCGAGGGCTCGCCTTTTTGATTTGGTAAAATTGCGGGTCAAGTTTACACAGAATTCACAATTGTATCAAAAACCAATAAAAGTTTCAACTCCGTAATTCTAACACAAGTTACACAACCAACAAACATTATTAATGGCAGGTGTTGTCGTCCATTCACTAGTGATTAAATGCTGACAGATCATTAAATGCCCTAACAACCAATGTGTATGCGGGTAAGTGCATCAATTAAATAATTATGTGGTTCGAGAAATCCAACAAAAATCCTTTTAATAAACATACTTATGGGAATTATCCGACCAAGAAAATTTAATCATAAAACACTTGGGCCAAGAATTTGTCAGTTCGCTAATCTACAGCCGGAGAATATCTGGCCCTGCGAAATACTACCATAAGGTTAGGGTGAGGCAGTTCATTCTCCTGCCACGCATTGAAATTACAGGTCAGAAACCGGAACACCATTTAGCTATCAATGCGATACACAAATTATCCAAAAATAAAATTCAGACATAAAAGTTGGCTTGTGAGTGGTGTGCAAACCAAAGAGAAGTCGCTTCACTTCCAAAAACGATTAAGATAATGATTCATAGTACCAAAAGGACTCGTTACACTTGCAAAGACGCTACACCCCAAATCCAAGTCCCCATCCATTGAACACCGGAATTTTTACCTACCAAGATATTAACGTTAAAAATACACAGTTTTCAGTCACCACAAATCTTAAAAACCAGTTGCAAGACCCAAACAATTAACCTCCCACCACGAGGAACCTTCGCCATTTTTTCATGTACACACAAAAATAAAGCTCAAATGGACTCAAAATGTAGCTATCGATTAGTTCCTCAGCTCATTGACAATGGCACTCGGATGAGCCTTTGTCAGCTTGAAGACACACTCAATGATAGACAGCTCAGTGTCGGTGGTGTCAGACCCACAGAAGGCCGTCCAGTCGTTGACCGTAAGCCCTTCAGCTATGACCTCATTCCCACGGTTCACAGTCCCGGCAAGCAGTGGGACCTTAAGGCTGAACGAGAGCTCGTGTAAATCATTTATCGATGCGTGAGGATGGAGCTGCATTTTTGCCCAAATCATCAAACTTGTTTTTTTTTTTTTTATCTTTTTCT